AACAATAAACCGCTCCTCGAACATGGAATGGGACGTCGCTTAAAATTAGTTTTAATGGGAAGAAGTTAAGTGGTCCTTTTATGGATGCGCTCAAAAGACTGTTTGGTCTTTTAGTACGGTATTCATTTGTCAAAATTTCTTAAAAAAGCGGCTTTTTTTCATTAAAACATAAACGAAAAATTATTTCTACACATGCTAATGTTAAAATCTTCCCAAAGGGTATCGCAAATTTGCAGAAGTGATATCCAGTAAGTACTTGAAAATGGGCCACCAATGCTTTAGATAGTTTGCTCCTCTTTTTACTCACTCTTTGAAATTTCCACACCAAGTTTGGATTTTTTCACTGTCCGACAGATTCACGTAAATCGTAAGTTAGCACGCTTGAATGAAGGAACGACCGATGCTATTGATAAATATTTTTCATGATATACAAAATCACTTAGCTCATATTCTTTTCAATGACGAAATGTGGGACTGCGGAAAGTATAAACGTTATAGTCAATGAGAGGCACAAACCAAAGAAGAGAACCCGTTAGACCTTTATTTGAGAAAGTTATACTAAATATCTGGTTTAAAAAGGCCGCACAGTAAAACGGGGGCGTCCGTTTATTTACTATCTGGGAGAATTTTCTATGCTTATAAGCCATTCAAGAAAGGCGTTAATGTTCATTGGTTAGTTGATGCATTACCATAAGCAAATAATTCATTTTTGGTCGTCAAAATGCAATTTAAAAATTAAAGATAAAATTTTGAGTTTTCTATCTATTAACTTCTATGTTAATATTAATGTTGTTGTTGTAGCTGCTATGTTTATTTATTTAGAGAAGTATATTTGTATTTAATCGTTTATTTGTTCAGCTCTCTATTTATGAATGCGTTTATTTGTTTATTTTTCGGTTTATCGTTTTTATTGACGGCATATTGTACGCCATTTAAATGAAACTACAAAACAATCAGTATTAATATTGCTACACCCTACATCACTTTTTTGGTACAGGATCTATTAAGTTTGTGCGAACATATAAGACGTAGGAGTTAAGCTTATGATAGATCTATCTTTTATTATACCGATCGATCCAGAATCTAGCGATCTAAGCCTATCTATCCATCTGTCCAACTGATGTCTGTCCATGTATTTTTAAGTTTCACCTATAGGCCGCAATTTTTTACATAATATAATGAAATTTTTACACTTACGTGTTTTGGCCCAAGCACGAATGCTATTGTAAATGGTTCGCATCGCGCCACTTTTTCGACCATTCTCTATAAATGGTCGTTATAGGGAAAAGATTTGCATATTCTATAAATCTTCGAGACTGATGTGAAAAATTTTTCCAAACCCATTTTCATGCGACCACACCTAGGAAAACTGAATCATTATATGGTAATACTGTATAATTTTCATAACTTCAAGGAGAAAATTGGTACAGAACAGTTAATTGACAAAGAAATCAAAGAAACTGAATTTGGATCACGTAGATCAATTTTTTATACATCACCGCCTATAAGAATTCTTAGGGAATGTAAACACTTATATGTCAAAAATTGTTAATATTTTATAAAGAAAATTTATTTATGGTAGAAATTTGACATCACAATTAAATGAACCAAATTTGAACGAGGTAGGTTTATTTCTTGATCCCATTCCATATAAGATTTTTCATGATTAGTAAGTTCTTTAGAAAAAGATATAATTTTTAATATTTTATAGTGAAAATTGATCCATAGTAGCAAATTGTCTAAAAAAATCACATAGATTTATTTTTTAAACCCTAACACATGTAGTGGTTATCATGAAAAACAAACCCTTATATGGACATGAAATCTAATTTCTAATTATTTTTGAGGGAAACTGAAAAATAATAAAATTTTTAACAAGTAAAATAATTTTACAACATTTGGACCATGTGATGTTTTGACCACTCCCCCATAAGCGGACCTTGATGAAAAGTATACCAAGTTACCAAAACGAGGGAATAATGAATGTAGGCGAAGTGGTGTAAGGTATTTAATGATCGGTCTTGTCATCTTTACTTGTTTTTTCATTGCCTTGTCCAAATGAACGAAACAAAAATAAATAAATAAATACGTGACACTATGAAATTACCTTTATTGCATAATTATATGCTTAACCGCAACATTTATTTATTAGTGATTATTATATTCGTGTCGATAATAACGGAATTAAAAACAAAATTCAAAAAAGTGAAAAAGTGATCTTTTAGGCTTAGGGAAAATCGAGAACGCTGACGTTTTCCTATTAGGATTATGTGGTCGTATCTTTAACCCGAATGAACCAAATTTTAGACAGGAGCGTAAATTTTTGTAAAAATGTTGAGTTTTTGTGGCATAAATCCATTGAAAGTAAGAAGAAGAAATATTGAAAATAAGTGAAATTATTATTGTCGGACAGGGTAGACTATTGAAAACTCTACCTTACTTTGTCGAACACTCTTATTCATTCATTTTTGTGATAGTACAGAAAAGTTTCAGGCAAAGGCACATCTTTCTTGAAAGACCCCGATATTGCAAGGTGGATAAAACCTGAGCTCACCTGATCCAAATTTAGGAAGATTGATTTAGTTTTAATTATTTTTCACCTGTTTTCGCCATGAAGCACTACAAGTTAGGCTTTGTCGTGTTAGACGTAGATATATGGGATCCAAGTTTCCTGCGGTTAATATTTATGCCAAAATGCTGCTATGGACTAATTTCGATAATCAGTTAAAAAATGGTCCTTAGGGAGAGGGACTTAGTATTTATGAGAACTGTTATATGGAATGGCGTTTAAAAAATAGACTTATGTGATTCATATGTGATCCACTTAATATTTATGTCAAATTACTATTATGGACTAGTTTTCATTAAACGATATTATGGATTAGATCTTTTTGCCATTTAAGAGAATACTTCTCATCAGTATCCTTATTTGGGTTGGGAATCCAAAAAAATAGACTAATAAAGTCCAAGTTCGGTAAGGTTAATTTTTATGTCAAATAACTATTAAGGTCTAATTTTTGTTATGATGCGTTTTTCAAGATGACGATTCTGTTTTCGTAGGAATGCTGATGTAAGCGGAGAGAAGCGGTGTCGAGGTTCCGATTTAATTTAAAATGCCGAAATAATTTAAATCAGAAATTTTTTCCAAAGAATTTTTAAAATTGCGATTTTTTATTCATAGAATTACTTTTCAAAATAAAATGTAAAACAGAGTGTAGTGGTCGAGAGGGTGGTTCGATCCAATCCAACCTTAAAAGTGTTTGGACAAAAACACATTGGAGTAACAAATTTCGCGATTGTAGATTGATCGAAAGTATAGATAGCCAGACATCGGACGAAGGGAGAGACTTAGATCGGTTCGCAAATTCCGAATTAATCGATATAATAAATGATTGGTCTATCTTAAGCCTTTCTGGGGCAGATGCATAAACTGAATGACCCTGTAGCATAAGTGGTGTAGGGTATTAAAATGAAAGCAAATGTTTCGAAATGTGTTTTTTTATAAAGCTTCTGTCTTGGTAGTAGGTTTAAAAGCGCCTTCATTTTAAAGCGAATCTAAACCATGCGCAAATGACATGGAGGATACAAAATCTATTTAAAATTTTGTCTTAATATACACGTAAGCTAATAAAGTTTTAAACGTATTTCAGATTAACAAAAAACGAAATTGCTTTACCTTGCTTTTTTTATAGCGGGTTTAAAAGTTTACTTGAGATTTTATTAAATTAAGAAAATTTGACATTGATAGAAAGCGTAAAAAGGGACATACATATATTATGTGTATATAAATAATAAAATATTGATATTTATATATACATATATAAAACTAAAAATTTTGGTTGGTGTTTACTTCATTCGTAAATAACGTAATAAAAAGGAATTCTCGTTCTGCTCAATTTCGAAAGTAAAAAAAAATATATATACACAATGTATTTAATGTACTATAAATTTTCGTATAAATTTTGTACGTCCTTGGTGTTTGTTGTTTTCATTCCGTTTAAGCTTAAGGTGTACTAAAGCGAAACTTTTGTTGCAGGTTGTTATAACCAACCTTTGAGTATAGAGGTATACTAAGTTGGTTCTTCGTCTTGTATCACCCAAGAATAGCTGTTAACGAGTTTTGTAATCGCTTATCCGTTCAATTATTTTTAAAGAAACAAAAGTTGAAAAATAAAATCGATATTCAAAGTAGAAGACATTCTTTAGGACGCTTTCTCAGATAGAGTTTGAAAACAGCCTTACTACAAAGAATACGAAAATAGGTTCGAAAGAGAAAGAGAAAGAGAAGAGAGAATATGGAAGCAAATGTTGAAAGCAAAAGTTCTGAAAAATGATAAATAAATTTTATAAAAGTAGCACAAAGGGTTTTAAAAAAATAGGGTCGAGCGATTTTTTTTTGATCTACAGGAAAGTCCCCATCTTTAATGAAATATTATATAATTCTTATATCCTTATAGCACACAAAATGATTTGAATTCGATCCAACTTTTATTAATTATGCTTGTCTGTCCGTCTATCCGCATTGTTTTCTTGTGTTACTAACCTAGAGGCCACAACTTTTTGACATGCTTTGATGAAGTTTGATGCATTGACATATTTTGGAGCAAGGACGGACCCTACAGATGCGCTGCGCTTTTCATATAATGTCTCATTGCGAAAAGTCATTATATGAATACCTATAGGGTTTTACGGGGTATTAGCCGTGGAGCCGTGGCCCACTATAGAGTGGTTACTAATTTTACAATTAGCGTGAGTGATGAGTATGCAACATTCGGATTTCGACAAACATAACTTTTCTACAGTTTTTTTTATGTATTTACATATTTTTTGATTTCGTACTGTTTAACACTTGAAATTTTTTTGGCTACTTGAAATTGTGGCAGACGCCATGTATTTAAATGTGTAGTGTGTATTTATTATAAGTGAGTATATATATATATATATATGTAGATGGATATTACATTTTCAGTTCTGTGAGAGAAACAGTTACTAACACTTACCTCCGCCGCACGATACAGAACATAGTGACATCGGTGCTATCTCCCAATGATAGAGTGTTTGCGATGAACAGGAACTACCATCACCGCCACATACACCGCAACTGTCGACTTTTTTTGTTGAGCCAATTTTCAAATCGCAACCAACTCGCTATTCGGTAAAACAAACAACAAAAAAAAAAAAAAAAAACAAAATAAAAACGTTTTAAGTAATATAAACCAAAAGTTTCGAGGAGAATTTTTTGAAAAGTAACAAAACAAAATAAACAAATTTCGTTTAAAGATTTGCAGATTTGCAAGAAAAAGCAAATCAAACAATGTTAAACAAGTTACTAAACCTAGGTAGCTGAAAGCAAATTTTCTCCTTGAGCATTTCCAGCAAAGAAATGTTGATGTGTTTGTTGAGTGAATAATAAATCATAAGTGATAATGGCAATAATAAAATATTGAAATATATGAAACTTTTTCGAACATTATCGGAAAACGTTCGTTCAATTTTTTTTCCATATTCTTTTTTTTTTTTTTGTTTTTTTGTTCTTTCAACTAAAGTTATTCTGTGAAAGCTAGCGTAACTGCTTTGAATCTATTTCCATGAAAACCATGATTTGTAGCCAAGCATGTATCAAAGCCACAAAATGACATATTATCATTTAATATATCGAATTGGGACACCAGCACAAAACCAGGCAATGATTTGTGGTTCAATAAATATAACCATAAACAATTGTTGTTGTATTACTACAACGGTAGAGTACACCATATTAACGCGTATGAGTTGTGCGAAAAACTCTACTTAAAGAGTTTAATTTTGTGTATATTCTAACAAAAGCGAATAATTAATCTGTTGCTAATCGAATCGCTTCCAAATGATTAAATAAAAATTTTAGCATTCATATTAGGAACACTCGGATAATGTGTAACAAAAATGTTTGTTTATATAAAATTATTGTTTTTCCTTACCTGGCATTTGCCCTGTATGCACATATCTAAACTTCCGGAACGGCAACGTGTACCATCTTGAACACGCGGTGTTAGTTGTACGACCACGCTAAGCTCATCATAATGTTCACCATCTTCTCCGGTGGTTTCTGGTGAAATATCATCACTTAAATGGGCCGGGCGTCCTCTAAATACATACAAAATGAAAAAAGAGAACGAAAGAACGAGTTTAGTTAACTTACTTACCTACTATGTAAGACATTGATAAGTAAATTTATATAGGGATGTATATAACACTTTTATAACTTGATGTTCGTGTACGGATTGGATGTTAATGTTTTTGAATTTATAATCACAACAACGAAATTATATACGGTTTGAGGTGATTCTTTAATGGTAAGACTAGAGTGTCATTATCCAATCTGGTCGATATATACCGTATCACATGCCGTATGTTGTGTCACAGATTTTTAGACTTACATATAAGACCACATCACTCAGTAATTTTCCGGTCGAACTTGCATTTTCTTTGCAATTTCGCAAGATAATCGATGAATATTATACCTTGACCATAGTAAAATAAGGACGTCTTAACCTACCGCCTTTCTTACGTGAAGTGGAGCTGTATATTCCATCCATTGTTTCATATCGCTTTGAAAAAAAGTGAATAAACGTGACACCCGCTTCTAACAGATCCTTCTTATAAATAAATGTGAATGCAAAATTCTGTGTACGCCGCCTTTTGATATCTTTAGGGTGTCAGCAATTCAATGCTTCACTTTCTGGTATTTCAAAATGATATTTGTATTTTTGCAAAGGTTTTTGAAAAAAATATAATATTATGGCGACCTGAGCGCATCATCTTAGGCATTCGGTTCGATTTAGTGTGTGTTTATTTGCGAGTTTTGAAAAGTTCATAAAGAATCTATATAAGAGGAAGGTGAAAACTTTAATTTAACTGTGCGTTCATAGTGTACCTCTGAGTTTACGATTAACAAATGATCAACTTCTGTACTGGAAAGCTTTGATTGTTTCTTGAACTAATGAAATAAATTCGTAGACTAAAAAAAAAAGACATTAAGCACTAGCAACACAGGTTATCGGCTCTAATATAAATAAATGTAGATTAGATAATGAGCTTAGTAGTATTAATAAAGTAAGTCCAAAGAGCTAATCGTTTTAAATGCAATACTTCTAGCCAAGGAAAAGTTAAGGCAGTCGCAGAGAATGTGCTGTATAGTGAGAATTTTTCCACAACTGCAGATTGGGGAGGAAGACTTCTTCAAGATCCATTGGTGAGTTGCGATAGTATGACCAAGGCGAATTCTCGTGAATGTTTGGATCTTGGTTTTCTCAACGTTTGTTGGATATAAAGGTGGAATTAATTGAGGGTTAATGAAAGAGTAGTGCTGATGATGGCATTGTAGATTTCCTTCTGCAATTTTCACTTTAACTTTTCACCCAAAGTATCTTTGAAGATCCAACTTTTCCATGACATCATCCATAAATAGAGGAGCAGAAGCAGCATACTTTGCCGCTCGATCAGCTCGCTCATTTCCCATTTTAATTTTTCCCTCGGCTGTTGTAATAATATTCTTTAATTTATCGATGGTGCTCCACCTCGAAGTCGAAGAATTCCGTATAGCTTGTAACATAGACAAACTGTCAGTAACAATGACGGTTTTGAGTTTGTTTTTATGGTAAAGGCTCACAGCGTGAAGAATAGCTAAATAACTTAACTTGAGCAGATCGGTAAGAAAAATTTTCGAATAAATATGAACTTCTCAATAGAGTTTTCGATAGGCGGCAGTGTTAGCGATTCCACCATTCAAACTGATTACGAATGCATATGTTTATAAATATTTGACAAACCTAAAACATCACTAGTGGGGGAAGGAGATGTTTTAAAAAATAAAAAAATTATCCCTTTTTTCAAGGTAATAAAAAGATAAATTAATTAATAGAATTCATAAGTGGAGAGGAATCGAAAATATTAAAAAAATGCAAATAACAGCTAAAGAGGGATTAATATAATTAGTCAAGTGATTTTTTTTTTTTAAATTTAGATAAGCAAAAATACAAGTAATTTTTTTGAACAAATTTAATCCGCTTTTTATATATAACATGTAAGAAAATTATATTCGGCTTTGGCCGAGCCTTCTTTAGCCACCTCTGTAGCTTGTAAACTTCTTTTCCCATTGTAACCCGTGGTCTTGGCTCTAGTTATGACATATTGAAGATTTTAAGACTTTCTTCAGATTGCTTTGAGTTCGCCACTGTTATAAGTCTGCTTGCTATATGTTATACATATGAATACATAGCGATCGATTCAGATTCACATTCTGAAACGATCTAAGTTTATCTGACTGGTTGCTTTCTTATGTTCAACTCATCTGTTGCAATATTCGAGAAATTTTGATAAACTTTGGTAAACCAAAACATTTTGGCCTCCGGACAAACGTCAATGAAGATAATCTAGATCGGACCGGTTTTTCTATCGCTTCTAATATAAGGGCTTCTTTGCATAAGTTGTTGTGTAACCAATTGTATTAAGCGAAGTGATGTAGGGCATGCAATGGTGAGCCGCTATATTGTTTTAATTTATTTTATCTAACAATATTTTCCTAAAAATTTATTTATGTCAGATAAAGCTATGACGAGTTATCGTGTTTACCGTGAGCATAATTTCTTCTAAGGGATCCCCGAAAATCGTATTCCATTGTCCGAGTTTTCAAAGATTTTTAAATAAAACTTTTACAAAAGTACAGTTTAAGTGTCGATCGCTCGTATTCTTAAAGGTTTGAGTAACATAATTCTCTTCCCGTGTGATATTCATGCATAAATATGTAGGTCTTAAAAACTATAAAAAGAAGCTCCGATTTCTTACAAGCCCGATGCAAACTGGAGAAATTTCGCTTCTTTTTTGTTTTTATTTGGAACATTTTATTATTATAGCTCACGATCGTATTGTCTGTATTAAGATTGCACTTCCCTAAACAATTTAATGGGGGTTGTTATTATACCAAACTTTTTAAATTTTTTGTCACATCATTGCTTATATCGGACGTAAACTATTCAAGAAATTATACATAGAGCTTAGATACCCTTCAGTTTCAGGTTCGTTCGTCAAACGTTTCAGTATAGAAAAGCGCCTGTGATATAAAATTGAAGTATATTTTGAGACTCTTCTCGGAAGAAAATATATATATATATATATGTATGCACTATAATAATTAGCCTTAAAAATTTGTGCAATTGTCGATGACAGAAACAACTAAGAGCTATGTATATACGTTCTTTTAATTTTCAATTTAATTTAGCCAACGAGTAGAGAGCAAACATTTTCATATGTGTACACATGGACCTCCGTTTATTTTATATAAGCATAAGTTTCCCGTTTAAAAAGCCACAAATATGATTTAATTTACCGCAAATAGCTTATATAAGAATCATTGCTTCGTAATTTATAATTTTCAAATTCAACATATGCGCCTGTATGTGCGTCATGTTGACTTTTTTTGTAATATGCCTGGGCAGGAAGCAAATACGAAAAATTATACTGAAATATTTAACATTGCAACCGCAACATAATTTATGCTGATTTTACTGTTCACCAAAAAAAAAAAACAAAAAAAAAACAGAAAAAAAAAACAGAAAAACAAGCCACACACATATTATGCGTGTGTATATACAAATATATATATATATATATATATGTATATATATATATATATTGCACGCGAGTATGAGAGCCTTTTTTTTTTGCCGAAACGTGGTATATGGTAGTGGATGGGAAAAAAATTTAAAAATAAAAACTTTGCACGTACCTGCAAGTAAGCGCGCAAGGCTCAACGTAATCATAGTGGGGCGTCCATTTATATAAAGTGCCATCGTAAGGCACGTCATTGTAAGCAACACATTGCCGAGCACGAAAGTCCTGTTGATCCGGACACGGTTGCATATTACAAATGCGGTAACGTACACTCTCGCCCTTACAACCGTTGGCATTCTGACATCGTCGTATTTGTTGCATAACACCACCGTCACAAGTTCGCGAACATGTTGACCAATCCGACCAGGCTGACCAAGGACCTAAACTAATCCCCGTATTACTACTCATGCCACCGCTGTTACCAGCTAAATGCTTAGCGGATCTCTTTTGTTGCGACGAGACGCACTAAATGAAATCAATTATTATTAAATTATTGAAAAACGCCTCCAATCATTTATTATATAATTTTTGTCTTAAAGATCCTACCTCGAGTTCATTTTCTAAATCCGCAGCCGTACTCCAGGTATCATCGAATGCTTGACTGGCATTCAATTTCTTGGCCATGCATACCTCTTCCACGTAGAACAATAGCTGAAACATACATAAGAAATCGAAAGAAAGCTTGAGTTTTCATTTGCCAAGATATTTATTTATTCTTGTTGTAGTAGTGTTTCTTTAATTTTATTCTTGTAATTTATATTGTTAAAATTTTCCAACATTTTATCGTGGTCATTAATTTTCTCGACTTATCGGGACAGTCTTAAGTTTGACAGTGTTAACAAAAACAACATACAGGTGTTTCCGTTTCCTGTTTCCCTTTTCAGTTACAACTCGGACAGAGCGTATACAAGCAGCAGGATAGAAAGTTCAGTTTACTCGTTTTTATTCTATTTTTTTCTTATCATTGTTGTTGGCCTGAACATGGTGGGAGTGATATAAGTAGAGAAGCGCTTGCAGTTTGCTTTATTATCCTTATTCCTTATCTTATGAACTTTTTGTGTTTTTTTTTTTTTTTCTAAAAAGGTTTAGAATGCGTACAAATACACATCGTATACTTGTAAAATATGAATATTCTTTGTTCAAATTAACTGACGTTATGAATTCAGGCAGATCCGTTTATCTGTGTATGTGTTGAAATTATTATTATTATTATCTTATAAATCTTCTTTTTGAGCAGCAGATTTGCCTTTAAATTTCCACTTTCGCAACAGAGTAAGTTAAAATTCTATAGCATCTTTTAAAAACTAATAATTTGTGCTTTTATCTCCGAGCAATAAAGTCGTTGTCCAATTTTTATATGAGGCATCCGCTTATTTTATGAAAACGTTTGCAAAAACCAAAAGGAAATTTCAGGGACAACATATAGTATATGTATTCTTGATTAGCCTCAATATCTAAACCGAGTATATCCATTCGTCCGCCGAAATTACTGTAAGCATGCTGATTTTGAAAACGGCACAAATCGGTCAAAGAACAGAAGGCTCCAGTACAACACAATCTGGGATCAGCTGTGTTTTCAAAAATAAAAACAAATTTTGTTTTTCTACCATTACTGTGTACGTGTACTTTATAAATGGTCTTGCATCATCTGCATGAAAATGGAAAAAATCGACCACGCCTACAACAAGTTATAAGTGATCTTTTCACTTCCTCGAAGTTGTGTTTATTACTCGTAAAGTAAACAAGAGAGAATATTGAAAATTATTCTGTACATTCCGCACATGAGGATATATATATAAAAAGACGTGGAGAGTAGAATGCGATAAGTTAAGCGTCTTAATTTTAAATTTGGCATCGCGGATGTCACAACGGGACAGATAATGGCGATGTGTATAAAAGCTACGTTCGCGACCAAATAAAATTTTTGTACTTGTTGGGTGGTCAAACCACAATCATTGGGAAATATGCCCTTTTATGTGTAAATAAATCGTAGCACAGTTTTTTTTTTTTTTGGAAGCCTAAGAGGTGCACTAGCAGAAGGCTCTCTTTTTATCTTTGGTTGTCTCTTATGCACGTCATCAAACACATGATGGTCAGTGTTATTTACGACGGTTGGAGCGCAGTGGGGTGTATGCTGTGTGATGACAACCTTGGAAGCATTATTTCCCCGCGAAAGGATAGTGTTTCGATGACCTTCCGGGACGTGTAGTCTGGTCGAAAGGCTATCACTTGGCAAGTTAGCTCTTGTGCCCTCAGGTGTCGTGAGGTTTGTCCTTCAAAGTAGGAACCCATGTGAAACAATATAAGGAATCTGTTGATAGGTCCTTTTGATTTCTGCATAGGACCAATCTTCGAACCATACGTGTCAAAATTTCATGACATTCTCATAACTACATTACAAGTTACAGTTACTTAAACGACGCTTCTTATGTAATTTAATGTGAAACAACGGAAAAATTTGAATTTCGTATGTTGTTTTAGTTAAAAAAGAAAACGATTCTTATGAGACTGATCACATACAAGGTGTAATGGCTACCCTTTTGCGAGAACATTTCAAAAGATACCTGATATGCCGCAATAATCCAAAGACTGTGTATTCACTATTTTGGCTAACATTCCGCCATAGATAAGCTGTGCAATGTCAGAAGTCAATGGCCATAATGACTAAAATGCATAAATTAAACTTCGAATTGCTGCTCCACTCACCATTTGCGCCACATCTGACCCCTAGCGACAATTATTAATATGAAAATTGTATCACTCGTGAAGAAAACTATTGCTAATGAATTTCGTCAAAAAAAAAAAAAAATATTTTCTTTGATATATTAAGTATATAAAAGCTTATTCGATTTTTTTTTCCAAATGCACAAAAAATAACAGTGAAAATCGATTATAATGCCGTGCTTTTTATTACCTAATTACTTACACAAAATTGTTAAATATTTGTAACTTATAGACATAGTCTTGCAGTTTACCTCAATCTACCTAAATAGCTATGCCTATTGCTTTTAGTAAGATTTAGAAATGCTGACAAAGGAAAGCCTCTTTCGATGTCGGTTAAATGTACCTATATACCAAAGAGAAGCTTGCAATATTTGATAGACGAAATTTGTGGTAATTTCTTCTTTTTTTTTTTTTTTTTGGCTTGTAGGCGAAAGTTGCCCTCAAGTCAAATAGAATTGCTTTATTATTCCTATTTTATTGCAATTACTATTGTCGTGATGAGTGTTTGGCGAATGTATGTTGTTCTTCATTAGATCGAGGATTGATTGAAGAAAGCTTTTAGTGTTTCAACGGTTTCATTTCATTATATATTTATGCTGTCTGCTGCAGTGCATCTATGGATTTTATAAACAATCAACATTTACTCCATATTATGTTTCAATTTCGAAATAAGATTTGCTGTGTGTGTGTGTGTGTGTGTGTGTGTGTGTGTGCTTGTGGTTTATCTCAATGTCTGGTCTCACGTTTTTCTTTGCGTGTACTCGTCCATTTGTTGACTTGGCATTTGTCTGGTAATGTCATACACACAACGTATGAAAATTGTTATTTGGCTCAATGGACGCGCAAGCAAGCGTGTCAATATTACTTAGAAAATATTCATGCATGTTCTTATGCACTTGTGTTATACCATGTATATATTTTTATTTATATTTATATATGTTGTAAGTTTGTATATATATATATATATATACGCAAACATGTGTACACCGAAACTAAGTTCATGGTAAAACAATATATTTTTGTTGTTGTGTTTACTGTATGATTGAGAAAATGAAAGAGGAAAGAAATTTAATAACAATTTCATGCATGCAGAAGAATTAAGAGACTTAACGTCGGTTTATTGTCGTAGCTGTAGGCTAGCAGTGATGTCGTTTTTCGTATATGGCTTTTCGCATAGAATTATTGAACAACATGCATGCCTGCTTACAAAATTGTATATGCTTTCCACACGGGTGTTCATGTACGATTTGAAAATATTATCTATAAAATCACAAAATTAAATTACATATTAAATGTTCATTAGACGAATACCCGTTCATATAATAATGGAGAGAATTAAAACTCTTCGAATAGAAACCTTTTCGACATACAATCGTTTTTATAATGAATAAAACAAAACCAATTTGCATAATGGCTTTAAATGTCAAAAAAAAAAAGAAAAGATTGTTACAATTATTTAGAATTCAATCACTGTACGCTAAAAAAAAAAAAGGTATACAAGTGAAATCCACATTATTTCGTAAAATATGTACAGAAATTTATTTTAAACTCTCCTTTAATTGTCAATTATCTATTGGCATTTGGCAACATGGCAACATGGCAACAATCACTAAGGCAAGGAATAGAAAAGTCCTATAGAACATAGAGAATAAGTTTTTACAGAGAAAATGAAACGAAAGGCTTTGCAATACGCCAGGCATACGAGAGGAACACAAAGACTACGTAATAATTGTTTGACTTTGCTTGAATTGCTAATCATTGCATAGACCTTTATTGTAACGAAAGTAAGGTAAGTCGCTTTAGGCGAATTTTAAAGGGCTCGTTATTTTCGAGGTTAAAAACAATTTTCATTCCATGCTTTTGCATTGTTCCAATAAATGTTGAAGTGAAATTCTGTATCGATATTTGCTGTAAGTCATAGGTTGTACATGCATGCATTTTATAATTTACTCAACACAAAGACAGCTTAAGGTATAGTAACAACCTAAAAAGTCAAAATCAATCGAAAGACGTTTACTTGTAGTTATCAATAAAACGTAATCTATATACGAGAAAATTTCTACAAAATGAATAACAACAATAAACACATAATGTTATTAAGGTATACGAATTCTCCTAAGAACAATACGAAAAGGCTGAGCAAATACACAAAACTGGTAGTGCAAAGCTATAGAAAATATATTAGAATGCAGAAAATCTGTAAACATAGCTGGCCACAACAGAAGTAAAATACGATGCAAATGTAACAAATTAAGGAAATTCATGAAAACTGATTTTAAAAATTTTATGATATGGGAAGAATCGATGGATGCATAGATGCATGAATGAATGATAATAGAGGGAAGGTTTTAAGGATAAAATCCGTAATTTCAGGTCCCTTTTGATATTAGCGTAAGGATAGAAGGAAGTGAGAACTTGAATGTTTAAGCGAGATTTTTAGGGTTTTAAAAGAAAGGCGAAAGACGTCTATATAAATGCATCAGTACTAGTAGCCAACCCGCAAAAAAAAAGCCAGTATATATAATCCAAATATTCTACGGTTAATTCTTATGCCAAATGCCTGCTATAAGCCAACCTCCATCATTACATATTATCCTCAAAGATATGAAAACTTTTATACGGAATGGAGTCCAAGCAATAGATCCTCGTGGTTCAAATTTTTATGTTAAATTACTATAAATAATATTATGGACAAGTTTTCAACATAAAATATTTAAGATTAGAGCTTTTTAGCATATTAAGTCTGAAGTTTCCATGAGAAACCTTATATCCTAAAAAATAGAGCCAATCAATCCAATTTCGGCAAAGTTAATTTCTATGGCAAGTTACTCTTACGGACAACGATTTGGAAATTGCACTTTCTTACATGTTTATAACGAGTTACATAAGAGTAGATCGAAAAAATGGTTCGATCCAAGCTATTTGCC